TTACTTTGTAAAAGTACACACTTCTTTTGTAAGGATTGGGCATCACTGCGGGCACAAAACCATACTTGTTGGTCGGCGTTTGGGTTGTAATGACTTGATATTTGGATGGACAGGACCTCAAAACCGACCCGATTTGCTCCACAGCAGCGACCCGCTCCTCGAGCGACGGACCAAGGTCAACCCCAAGTTGACCATACCCGGGGCGTGTTCCCACCACCGCCGCCTCCGATCCGCGACGACCGCGGCTCAACACGCTGGATTGTTGAGCGTATTGTGAACCATAGTATCCCGAAAACGAACCGGCAGCCGGTTCGTTATCGTATTCGTTGGAGAGGGTTTCCGCCCCACCAAGATACATGGGAGCCGCGAGACGTCCTGCTACAGGACGTTCCGGAAATGGTGAGGGTGTACGAAGCTCACGACGCACTGCCGGCGCGAAGGTAGTGCGAGCGCTGTAGTCACCTGCAGCGCCCGAAGTCCCACGATCGTCGTGTTCCTCGCGTGCCAGGAACTTGGCACGGAGATCCTTGAGACTCGCAGGTACACGAATCGTTGTGTACCCGTTTAGGTCGTGGTCGCTCAAGCGCGCCGCACCCAGAAGATACAACGTGCACTGTTGACCTTCGGGCACAGCGCATGGAATACCAGCGTCCACAGAGGATCTGTGGAGCTGCTCCAGCCGCCCGCGCGTCGAGAACGTCTCGAAGCGTTCACGGGCATGCTTAACCCGCTCGCGGTAAGCGGTCGGATTCTTGTTGAAGTTCTCAACAAAAGCATTCCAACCTTGACAAAGTGCCTGCCACTCAGGCACTTTGCTGCGAGAAGAGGTCTTCTTGCTGGAGAAATACCGGAGCTCATGGAAGAGCCCGATTTAGTAGTCGCGCCTTTGATTCGTTAACGGATCAAAGTGCTGCTCCTCCGCCACAGCATCGTCGCGGATGCCGCTGCATACGTACAGCGGGATTTCGTTTGGAGGCACAGTATTGCCCACCCGTGCCGCGATCTCAGTCGCGGACGGCATCCACGGATCGCGCGCTGCCTGAGCAGCGCGCGGAGAACTTGAAGTCGCTGTAGCGCCTGGGGAGCTGAAAGCCCCAGCAGCAGAGAGCGGAGTGTCACTCTCGCCGCGCGAACGCTTCGAGCTCGAAGCTTCCGAGTCGTCTTCCTCACGAGGGCGTTTCGACCCGGCATGTGGGTCGAGACTATCGCTGTCGATAGACTCCTTGCGCTTGCTTGACGAGGCCTCGCCCTCCTCCATCCCCACGTCTCCGTCCTCGTAGTCAATAGCGTCGTTGACTACGGAAGAGCCTTCGAGGACGATCCCGGGCTGGGTTGTCCCCGCCGCAGCCTTGGCAGCAAGAGCGTCACGCTTTGCTTCCTGACTACTCGGGGACAGAGAGATTCTCTGTCCCGGCGGAGGTCTTCTCCTTTGCTGCAGCGGCGGTCTTCTCCTTCGGCGATCTCATTGCGGAATGAGCTCGAGTTTTCTTTCTCCCAACGTGAAGAATTGACGAGTGGTCAATTTCTTGATTGACGTGCCGTGATTCGTCGCGTCTAACCTTGACGGGGGGTTAACAGGGTTACACGCACAAGTGGCTACAGTCACTTGTAACTCTAACAGACACGGCGCCTGTTAGAGGTTCGAAAGACTTTTTCGATCTTGGTGTAAGACACACCAAAGGCTACATACATTTACGACCACCATGACGGGTGGTCCATAGAGACTTAGGGTTCCTATTGGCTGAAAGAAGCATCTTTTAGCCAATGAGCGACATGCATAGCATTGGAATTCTGCCAACCAACCGTTGGCAGATTCCTAAATTAGAATATTACATTTAGAGGAAGTCAGAAAGCATAAAACAAAAATAGCAGGTCTCATTTTAACCCAAAAACATTATTTGGATCGTTTATTTAGATTAACCCATACTCGGAGGCCCGAGAATAATTAACTCTAGTTTAAACTAAGCTACAGTTCCTCACACACGTGCGCACACGTGTAAGCTAAAGTAGTGAGCCAAAATAGGCCCATTACTGTGTGGCCTGTATGCCACACAGTAGTGGGAATAAATAACGGGTTTTTACGAATAGAAGACCCCTACTATTAGAAGACCTCCCGCAATTTTTCAAGAGTGCTCTAGAAATAAAAGACCGCTACGAATAAAAGACCTGTTTTAGAGTAGCAATGCCAATCCGGGTCTACTTGAATCTCAAACGAGCTCATGTTGTTTTGATGCAATATAATCGCTGGATGGAGGTTTCTGGTGCAGCGGGGGTTGAAGATGCACAGTACGGGATAAAACGATGCCAAACAATATGAAGCGTGTGTTGGCGCCGATATAGCTAAGCAATAGTAGTCCTCTTTCGAATAGTAACCCCCCTGTCTCAGCCGATCAGAATTAGGAGGCTACTGCTAAATACAAGGCCGACCACTATTCGTAAAAATCCGTTAGATAGCAGAATATTCCCAGCAGAATTGTCCGGTCGTTTGGTTGTCCGCCGTAGACTTGGTTTTGCTCTTGTGCTGCAACAAGGTTTATTGTACTCCTCAGGGATTCTATTGCGCTCATCATATTTTGTCCCCATGCTGTCCGCGAAATAGGCTCGTTAATTCAGCGTCAAATCGCTAAAGAAATCACTAAGCGGCATGTCCTGAGCGAAAAGCGCTAGGCCAAAGACAGAAAATCATCACTTGGCGGGCATATATGCTATTCCAGCTGTAGCACAGCCTAAGTTACAGCCTGCTTCAGACTGGGATACGTTGTTTTACCATAACCGAACGAGCCTAGCTTCGATGGTATTGGGCTACACAGGTAAAATCACTATTGTGCCTTTGTTAAATTGGCAAATCAAACAGCATATAAGTCAGCGATTGATTGATTATTCAGGAAATGTACTATCCAATGAGATAGAAGGAGCCGCACATCCAAAAATATATGACAAGGCATGTAATGACTTGAAGAGAGGCAGGTATCGGGGCAGCCCGATACCCGTGCATCTCGCAGCTCAAAACAGACAGCCAAACTACCAAGTACAACATTTCAAATACGACCAAGACCCCAAAAGTCCGAAGCTCACCTCTTCGCCTGCCCTGGAGTGCTGCTTCGGCAACAAGCAGGAGCTTACTATGTGAAAGGAAAGGCTTCGCGCGCACACTACCGGATGTACCTAACAAAGTTGCTAAAAGAGGAGAAACCGGCCGCCAGGGTCCTAATGGTTACGATGGTCGACCTAGAAACCAGTCGTCCACGATGTGACAGAGGAAGGGGTGCGTGACGGGCACTGAGAGTTGGCGCACTGAACTGACCCCGCACGGCGATGCAGTACCTGTTCAAACAGGCGCTGCCGAATGGGTCCCTCTCCACTTTCCCGGACACTGTCCTGAAGATGGGTCCATGTGGACTTCTAGAGCAGGTTTATGGCCTGGGAAATGTGACGGCTCATCGAGCTGATGAAGCTGCGGGGTCGTGTGCTAGTCTCTAACTGGAAGAATGCTGAGCCTCTGTTTGCTCGGCTGAAGAAGCTGAGGAACGAGATTATCAGGAGGACTTCGGTACTAGTACGTTAGGAGATGGTGACTGAGGCATGGCTATGCATCGAAGTCCTGTCGCAACTACTTAGTGGACGGCGGGTGAGTTATGTCTCGATGACGAACGAAATAGTAACTGTCGCCAACGTGGCCATGGGGCGGAGACGTGTGTTTAGCGACAAATCGCGTCAAGAGATGAACCCTTACATCGAAAAGAAGAAGATGGCGAGAATCTGCTCAGTCCATCATACAGGTTTGAAGCTAAAGGGCACTGAAGGTATGGAGTACTTATACCGCTTTGATTCAGTTCCGTTACCGATGCGCATACTGGATCTGAGAGCGGTCAAAACAGACATACGACGTCAATATGATGGTTATCTAACTATGTCAAAGAGAATGGTACTGACTCGGTCAGTGTGGGGCGTAGATGCAGGAGCTGGTCACGCAATAAGAACGAATCGAGAATGGTTCAGCTGCCTAAAAAGAGGTACACGCCACACGTCCATGAATGGCAACAGTATAAAGTTTAGCAGTTTGATTGGGCTTCTAATAGCTCGTGCGCTGTGTCCTATGCGCGATGGAGTTGCGAGGCACTGGCCAAGCATGAGGGATGGCGCCATTCCGTCCGGTACGGGCTCGGTACGAAGAAATCACGAGATTTTTGCATTTTAGTGACAACAAAAGCGATGAAGCGCATCACGATAAAGCATGGAAGATTCGTCCGATCCTGCAGTTGATCGAAAAAACGTTCTGAAGTGGGTCCCTGTTGGGTAGAACAGTATCCTTTGATGAAGGTATGGTGCCGAACAAGAGCAAATTCAACCCGATCCGAGTATACAACAAGGAAAAGTCCAACAATTGGGGCACAAAATAATATTTGACTTGCTGCCCAGCCACTGCGTACTGTGCAAGGTAAGCAATCGTAACTGATGTGGTGCCAACGAAACCTAACTCTAACGCTGATGTCGTTTAACCGACAGATTTGAAGTTTACTGTGGAAAAGAGAAGGACAGAGTGACGAAGGGGAAAGTTGGGCCAACCGCAGTTGTAAGAAACATATCAAAGGTTCTACACGGTCAGCCAGCTAAGCGTCTTATCGTCACCGACAACTTCTACTCATTAGTGGCACTGCCGCTAAAGCTGCTCTCTATGGGGTTATATCACGTTGGAACCGTCCGGACTAACCACCTTGGTTTGTGTAAGAAGATCCAGTATACGCAGAAGAAACGACCAAAGAATATGCGGCGACGGTCATATCAAATTGGTCAATCCAAAGCCCACCCAGGGCTTGTAGCGCTGTCATGGATGGATTCTAGGCCCGTGAATATGTTGGCAAAGGGCTGCAGCACAAGTCACACAACCGTTCTACGAACGGAGAAGGGTGCAGAATTCTGATTTCACTTCGAATATGCCGCGGGGGGATATTGTGAACATGTCCGCGGCTGAGCACACGCACCAGATGCAGTAAGTTACTGAGCGATACTCACTGCAGCGCAAGAGAAGTCAATTTATCTGCAAAGTGTCTTCATTGATGAGCAGCGGAAAAGGTTCGGAAACGACGTACACATGCCCCAAATGTAGTGAAACATTCGGGGGAAGGGTAGCTTTGTGCAATGTCGTTCGCCGACTTTCTGAAGGGAAAACCAAGACTTGCGCACAGATATGGCATGATGTGTGGGAAAATGGAACTCAACTACCTGTCAACTACGCGAAACACATTCTATTCCGGAGAAGCAAATGTGTTTCGCAAACGAAAGCGAGATGAACAGGACGGCAAGGACGATAGCTAACTCCCTCTCGAGAACTTTGATATATGGAGTATCTACTAGCTGCGTGGTTTTACCATCGGTGGAAAACTTGAGGTTGAATTATTGTATAAGAAAAGCAAGAGAAAAACATTCATTGATTCTTAGCAGTTTGGGTTACTCTAGCTGAGCGTGCATTTAGCGGCAGAATTGTTTTTTTTTACAGAAGCCTAACAAATCGCTGCGTCCTGATGAACGGCCGAATTTGAGCATGCCTATCGGTGTACAACGCCGCTAAACGGATACTTGTTCAAGAAGCTCCGTCACGATCGACGCGACCTCTTGCAGAGGGAAAGTGTCGTTTTCGACCCATCGCGATCGGTAACAGCGGCAGACGATGTCTGGAGTTTCCGCTTCCTGCTCTGGCAAGATCAAGACATATTTGTTACCATAAAGAATGCGAGATCGACGTATACAAATAGGGTAGACATACCGGGTTTGCCGTCAGGTAGGTTCCAATCCTCGCTTTAAGCCGCGCATTTGCCTCGCGCTGAAAATTTTGGCGGGGGTCGATGGGATTACCGGTCTCGGTAAAGTAGGATCGTCCGAGCTGCGGAGGCGAACCTCTTCGTGAGCGCACAGAAGCTTGTCGTGGTTGTGTCTCAAGACCTCGATCGGGCTGTCTCGCCCCACATGATCCGCAATGGACTGAGTATTGCAGGTCTGATTGGCAACTCGGCAGGGAAGGAGCCGTACCTGTCCAAACATCGCCGCCAGCTTCTTAAGAAATACGCTGGTATGACAAAGTCGAACTGGGAGCGGGTGCTCTCCTCGAACGAGGCCTCGGTGGAGATCCACGGTACGTCGGGGAGAGTCTCCGTTTGACGCCGCACCAACGAGGCCTTGTCCGAGAAGTTCAGTGTCGACATTAAAGTCAAGCCGCGTGTCTCTCATCTATCGCCGGCAATAGGAGACTTCAGAAAATCACGTAAATCACATTTTGTCGCAGTTTGAGAGCAATTTTGTGTTCACCTACACCTAGATTTGCGTTGGGAATGTGGGCGCCTAAATCATCAGCAAAATGCAACCACAGAGTAGGCAAGTTTAGGTGACAGCCAATAGTCAACAGTGAGGATTATACCATAACTCCTTAGTGGAAACGCAGTAGAGATGACGAGCTATCCGGTGATACGTATTACAAGGTAGGAACACGATGGTAAGTGCATCAAATAGCATTAGCAAAATCAGTCGCAATTTGCGGAGACTCCAAAATCGTCTCTGCAAATTGCGACTGATATTGCGAGCACATCGGCGCATTTTTCTACAGGATTTGCGTTTGTCGAATTTGCGATTTGCGCGATTTCCTGAAGTCCCCCAATGGAAGCTGAGGTGTGGATGTCCCCGTCGACCGTGTCCACTACTGTTTTTCCACCTAACCAAGCAGTATACTGTGGACCGAACCGCTTCCGGGCCATGGATATCGCGATCTACAGCAGCCCGGAATTCGTCTAGACTGAGAAACGGTTAACCGCCTAGAAACAGGATTCTTCGTGTATAGTTGGTGTTTGAGGCTTAGAAGACAACGATGTGACGAGGCTAGAATCTACGGGCCCATCATACCTTCCTCGTGGTTGGAATGCTAAAGCACTACTCAATGTCGACGCTAACTTGGTTCATCCCAGCGTATGGTCAGGCACTTGCCTCCCTAATCATGTAGGATTAGACTAATGAGGTTACAACGTCTTAAATACCGTGATCGTAGGGTCCGCATCCGCCGGAGAATGTGTGGCCCTCCCCCAGATCGCATCTGAGCTGTCAGTCGTGGCGTTCCTTCTCGGGTCTCGTTATCTGCACTTGACTGTCTTGAGGCTACTGGTGCCCAGCATCATAACGCGCCTTGTTAGTTTTCGACTCCTTTTCATCTGCGCCTAGCGCTCGGCCACAACCTTGAGACTTGAGCGTCGTATTCTTCTTTGATATAGACTGTAGTACCTTGGTCCTGTCGTGCGTTTGAATTGTTTTCGTGGAAGGCGCAGCACTCATCGCGCGCAATGTAGTGGTCGGTTCAGCTCGGAACAGAGCAAGAGAGGTCGCAACCGGTTGCGGCGGTTGTCTTCCTGCCCCAATGGTGGGCAGCGCAGTCGTCCAGTGTCAACGTAGGCGCAAGCGGCAAGCCGCCGGCGTCATAGGCATCACCCGGAAGCAGTGCTGCTTTGTTCAGGCAATGGGGACAGCACACTTTCGCAGCTAATCTCAAGAAAGCAGACGTGCATTGACGACTACTACGTGGGCTTTTCCGAGGAGAAAGAGCGTCAGTTGTTTGAACGGGTTATCCATTTCGTCTGTTGATGGTGCATTTTATGTCAAAACCCACATGATCTGCAATCTGGTCGGGTGAAGAACCAGTCACGACCAGGTTCTTCTGGTTGTGCAACCTGGCTAACAGTCCCGGACAGCAAAAGGGGGTCTTTTTGAGTTTTGGCAGCCTTCGCACTCGCGGGGGGTTTCGGTCCCTGGCTTTGATCAATATACACCGTGTTAAGGATGTATACTACATGTTAAAAGTATGCGTATTTGATCTAACTATTGCCTTCCGTAAGTACGACACATTTCTATAACCTGCGGGAAACTAGTTGACACAGACAGACGCACATGTTGTCTAAGACGCCCTCGGATGGGTAGCTAAATTTCAACAGGGTGTATATACTACAACTTGCAGTGTCCTTTTCATTGATGGTGAACAAAAATCAAACACAAGGGCGGTTTTATGCTGGAAGTATCCTATGATTGCATCCCAACATACCAGGCTATGCATGTTTTGAAAACAAAAAAACTGCTGTGCCTAGCTAGCAACCAAGTGACACGTCTTCCCAACCGCGGGCTAATGGCGTCTTAGCATTATTATAGCGCACGTCCTGCTCGGTTTCATTGAATTGGGCCACCTCCCCAGGCTGCATTCTCTCTGAGGGGTGCATCCTAAGAATCAATCAGAGCGTCGTTGTCCGTCGGTCGGTATCAAAATCGTCACGCTTATTCACTAGGTACGAATCCCTCTAAATACGATTTGCTGCCGAGCGCAGCGAAGGCGGCCCCATTACAAGCTGCCGAGTGAAGCGAAGGCGGCACCCGCGTGCGTTCTAGCGGGCCGCCCGGCCCGTCCTACTGCATAATTACTAATAACACTGCAAGTAGTGCAGCGAGCGGAACGGGGGCAACCATATTACCCCCGCTGTGCCGCTAAGGCCACATACTATTATTACCAACCTTTACGATATTAATGAGCAGTAGCAGCGATAGCGGGGCTCACCCAATGATATAATACATACTTACAGTGCGAGTATGTAGTACGTTATGGAAGGGATAAACTGGGTCAGCCCTACTACTTAGTAGAATAGCACTGTAGCGAGGTTGATATAATATAAACACATAGTAAGGGATGATAGCGCATAGCAAGCGATGGCAGCGCGTACTAAACGATAGCCGGGCGAGTACATGCAGTACAAGGGAGTCTGAAGGGGGGTGATCGATATTTCCATCATGCTCAGCCTCGCTTTACTATATTTCTGTAGACACCTTATAGCTGCTGTGGTACTTGGCTATTTTGCTAACTCCTACTATTAATTAAAATAGGCCCACCGCGGAGTAGCAACGATAGCTTCGCTTGCCGTACGACTTATAGTAAATACACTGAAGCGAAATTGGTTTAACATAAATACATACTACGATATAGATATGGTTCGCCGCGTAGTTAGCGATATCAACATGTAGTAAGCGGCGACTGTTTGTAATAAGCAAAGCAGTGCGTAGTAATATATAGCAGTGCGAGTACATGTAGCGGACGAAATTGTTACTGACACGCATAGCACACTTTTACTGTAATACTTGAGGGATGGATATATTATAGCTACAGCGGCTTCATCTTGGGGCGATTTTTCGTTACTCTTGCTTGAGCGTGTTTCGCATAGTTTTAAGATACAGTATGTAGCGGTAGGATTATGCATTAGTGGGGTAGTAGATATTATGACATTCACTGAGCGGGAACTTTTTGTCATAGTTTACGCTGAGATTCCCTCTCTAACCATGTTATTGTGGGAAACTGTATTAGCATAACGCAAAAGTGAATTCATAGTTACGCGGTGCAAGGTTCTTACTTTCAATGTCTTAGCTACTATAAATGCAGACAGACGCTAAAATGCTAATATTTGCTGCGTAGTAGAATAATAAACTGATAGCCACATTAAAAAAATGAGTGTTGAAACAGGTTACGTAGAAGTTTGTGCACCCCGCAGCTCCAAAGACATTACGGGCCAAACGAAAGGCTGAAGCGACGTTGTATACTCGGTATTTTAATAAAACATACTTAGTAGATTGCAAACTAAATAACAGAGAGCTATGGTTGCGTGACAAACTCAAGAAAAACACGTACATAGACTTCATTTGGCACGTCGTACAAGTGATAATGTTTTACCCTGCAACATGCATCTACCCATAGTCACTCCGACGTGGGAATAGTTTTTTAAGCTGATAGCAGCCACGTAACGTTACTAAGAGTACTTCCGTCACAAAAAAACTCTTACATGCACACAATCGAAATGAATAACATTTGAACTGGATAAAAGCCCACCGGAGCGAAGCGGAGGTGGGCGGCCCTATCTACTGCAACTAACCACATAACTACCGCCGCGTAGCGGCGGCGCTCGGCTAGTATTAATACCTACATGCGCAATATAACCCTTACAGAGCAAAATAGAGTGTCTACGGTGTTCATTCTTGCCAGATTACCTCTTCTTTTACATACCCTGGTATATCGGATGAGATTCATCTTGCATTTCGAGCCATTATGTACAATCATGTATCATATCCTGTCTGATCTGATCAGAGTACCCAGGGCATAGTAGGGGTAGCACTGTCTCATACGCATGATGGGGAGAGCGGTTCCTGTTAGCAATCTGTTAGCAATCAAATAATCAGTCTAATCCACCATTCTCTGCAATTCCTACTCGTTCTTTGTGCATATTTTTACCTACACCTGTGCATTTCACGTAGAAAAAGACGTGCTGCTCTTTTTCATAACATGTAGTCATATACAACGTATGAGTGCGCGGGGGGGGGGTTAATCTCCGAATTTCGAGGTGCTGTTTCGACCAATCGATATATCTCGTTGAGGCACTTCGCCCAATCACCTTAGTAGCTCACAGGTATCAAAAGTAGATTCATTTTAGTCTCAAAAGCCGATGGTCGGGGTCAGCGCATACTAAAATCAAGTCCAACATTTCCGGACGGTCCAAAAACCAGTCGAAGTCAGGGGGGCAGGCCTCAGAGGCGACTAGCGCCTCAACAACAACGGATATGATGGTTTCCGTTGCGTGAGCAGGTCTAGACATCATGTACACATACGTATTGTTATTGCGTGCAGGGCTCGGTCGTGAATACTAACTACAGGGCTCGCGAACACCTTCGAGCTACTCCAGTCGAGCTGTTGTGAGATGCAATAATGATGATTTGCAGGAACCGGAAGTGACTCAAGGAAAGGCATTCTTCTCTGTCCCACGAAAGTATGGGTAGCTAGGTTTTTTTGTGTACCACACAACGAATGTCATTAGCCACTTGACGTTAGTTACGGCAAAATTTGTTTTTTGTGCAATGATAGCACACTTGATTAGAAAAACCTCGTTGATTTTGAAGCGAGAAATCTTGCTTAGCAGGCCTTTCCACAAGCTGTAATTGGACCGCCAAGCTAACATTGTCAATAGCAAATCATCCTGAAATTTCGATGAATTATCGCTAATTTTTGA